AGATAAAAAAAAGATAAAAAAAAGATAAAAAAAAGATAAAAAAAAGATAAAAAAAAGATAAAAAAAAGATAAAAAAAAGATAAAAAAAGATAAAAAAAGATAAAAAAAGATAAAAAAAGATAAAAAAAGATAAAAAAAGATAAAAAAAGATAAAAAAAGATAAAAATAAAAAAAGATAAAAAAATAGAATATAAGAATAAAAAAGTAAGTAGAAGCTGATTCCACTTAGCCACTTGAAAGTCAAGCAGCTTGTTTAAATACTCAAAAATAAACTTAAAGACCCATTTTTGAAAATTTGGCCCCTCCCTTTAGATTGGGTGCCATTTACATATTCTTTGAACAATAATGTCCCAAAAGAAAAAAAATAACAACATTAAATAGAGCTTTCAAAGAGTCCATGTTGATTAACATATTTCACATATAAGACAGTAGTGTTCACTTTTATGAAAAAAAAAAAGCACAATAGACCAACACCAACAGGTACCTGCCAGGAGCTGTCTGCAGAACACCAGGCAGGGAGCCCCTCCAGCAGAAGGGAGGCCGCCACCAGGATAAACACCAAGCCTCACTTCCCATATTTGCTTTAGTGAAACCCTTTCTACTCTCTGTGCATAAAAACTGCAGTTCTTAGCACTAAGAAAATAACACTAAACAACACCAAAAAAGAAAAATAAAGATATTAGTCCTCCTTTTAACATCCCTACTGCCTCAATCAACCTTCTGCCTCCCCTGTACTTGCAAACTGATGGGATGCTGGGACCAAATTACTGAAATTGTTCTCACCTGTTGCTCTTACTCCAGAGCACCTGGGCTCAAGGTACTGAGTACAGTGGTGCATAATGATGACCATTTATTTGACACTAACATTCCCCTTCCATGTCAATAGCCCCTCTTCCCCAGAATCACAGGGCACACAGGGTTGGGATGAATCAGACCCTCTGCCACCTGGGCTGGCTGCTTTCTCTGCAAAAGCCCCAAGACTTGGCATGTGCTCATAGCACCAACACTGCAACTGTCAAAAAGAGAGTGTTCAATAATCACAGGGCCCCCATGTGGCAACCCCCCCAAAACGGCCAGAGCAGTGAATTGGGTAGGAGGGAACTAGAAATTTGGCTCGATTAGGCCTAATGTCTGCTATAAATATTACCTTCCGAAAATATTTTAGAAACACATTTAGTTTGACACAATTAGATTATAATGGGAACTATTCACAGATGGAAACATCCTCAATGAGTTGTATAGGCTAACTGGCTCCTAAGACATATGGATCCGATGTTAAGATCAGTAGTAATTTCTAATGCAGTCCTTCACGTTCCTCTGTAGGGCACACTGTGTTCCCAGAGCATTAGGAAGGAGTGCGTGAGCAGAACTAAGTGCTTAATATTATGCAGTGGACATACTACCCTGCGCTGAATTAATGGACTCATTTAACATAATAATGACATTTCATACCATGTTACTGCAGGTTCCTGTGATTCCAGGGGGGAAGAGCTAATGCAAACCTGGCTTCCAATGCTGTCAACTTCACAAGCGCTTCCAGGCACTGAAAGGTTTAAGGATCTCTGCACTTCCTTGAGTTCACATGAAAAGCCAAGCCCACACAGTACATCAAACTGGCTACTGAGAAAGCCATTAGCTGGGGCTAATAAGCAGGGATCCTAAAACAACTATAATTTGAATTTATTTTAATGCTAACACCAAGGAAGTAGAAAAATAATAGAAAACACGGTTTTACTAATTTTTACAAAACAACCTTACACATAAGGATTTGTATAATGATTTATATATAGTGCAATAGCTTGCTATTCTCAGGAAAAATGAAATACTCATTTTTATGCCACAGTGGTTGGTGGGAGGAAAACTACTCTGTCCATGTATCATAAGTGCAGCTTATTAACTGTCTCCGGTAAAACTCTTAATTCAGTAGGGATGTAAACTGGTTCCTTTGCTTCCCAGGCGTAGCTGACCCTTGGCA